ACTTAATTAAATAAGACAGAATTAAAATTTTATTTTGAAAAAATAATTTATTAATATTTATCTGAGATACAAATCTTGTTGCACCAACCCATAACTGATAATATAAAGTTACTATTATAATAATTTTTAAACTTAAGAATATTTCTCATCTTGAATTTTTATTTATAAATTATATAAGAAATAAAAAAGATTGAATAAGATATATTGAATTAAATATATTTGAATTAATAATAAATTGATATCAATTCATTTTTGATTATAATTTGTTTTATAGTTATTTAGTTAATTCTATAAAATATTGATTTATGAAGAAAAATACAAATATTATCATGATTTCTGAAGGATTAACATCAAAATTACAACTACTTGATACCTATATTAATAAATATTTTAATGAAAGATATGTAATAAAATTAATAAATTACTTTGAAATTAATAAATAAATATTAATAATATTTATTTACAAATTAAGATTTGTGCTATCCATAATAATTGGCTGGCTCTAGAAGTTAAAAGTTAATGCCAACTGGATGTTTTCAAGATCTTCCTACAATCTTGTAGCTGAATTGAACAAGCATGCTTGGAATAAAGTTGATTCTCAAATGATTCATCATTCTTTCAAGCGCTGTGGAATTTCAAACGCACCTAATGGATCCGAAGAATTAATTTTTGATTATGACAAGGTTGATCTACAATTTCATGAAAATGAATCAGGTAATAATGATAGGGAAAGATTGGAGTGAAGGTGATAATAATTTAAGATGAGAAAATGAGATACAATTTGTTAATAATGACCTTAATATCGATGATTGTTTGTATCTTGGAAGCAAAGAGAAAGCTATAGATGTAGAGGAATTCGATCATTATTATTCTTTGCAAGAGGCAGAAACTTATACGAATATGTGGAATTAATTTTGTAATGCAAAATTAGCATAATTTTTAGTTTTTATAATTTGCGAAAAAAATAAATCAATAAATTGAATATCTACTTTTTAGTCATCCGTCATGTCGTTAACACATTCTAAACGCCGTGATTCTGCTGGTTCTTTTCTTGAATAATCCTCTCAGAGCACAACAAACAAAGAAAAAACGAAATTTATAAGTTGGTATCATGTCCACCAACATTTAACACAACCAACGTCCCTTATCGTTATCGTTATTGTTCATTAATATAATAATTATTTGACACTTCGTAACAATACCAAACTCGGAATCATTATTGACATTACCATTACAAGTTCTCTTAACGTTAGCCTTTTCTACAATTTTAATATTTAGCCACACCAATCGCCATATACATGTATACCCGGATCTGAATCACGGGAGGGTACAATACACGGTTATACCCGGGTCTGAATCATGGGGGATATGATACGGGGTAATTTGCACGGCGTTTTACGGTACTAATTTCCTCCAAGTTCTGATTTGTTCAGAATATTAACGTTTGTACGTAAAATCGTCTCCCGACATTTTTAGCTAAATTTAAGCATACATTTTCCGTCTTTTTTGTATCGGATTTGTTTTGCCGGTTTCGCCTTAGAGCATCAGCAAATATGAAAGTCCTAGCCCAGGTATATGCATAAAAATTTCATAAATAATTTTTTATTAGGCAAATATGTCACTATAAAAAAAATACTTGCATGTACTTCTTTATTATGAAATGAAGGCAAAACTGAAATTGCTAAGCAACCCTAAAAAATAATGACCTTAATAATTGTTTTTTATAACATACAGCGGAAACCCCCTTCATTGGCTAAAAAATTGGCTAAAAATCGATGATCAATGGACGACTTCTATGCTGTATTTGGAAGTCGCTATGCATTATTAGCCAATAAAAACAAAAAAGATGGGGCTTTCATTAGTAAAGCCATTTCACAAATCCACCAGAAAAAAAACTGACAATGCATCGTTATTATTTATTGTATGTGTAAACAATTTATATAATTTATACTTTAAATATAAATTTTTAGTTGATAAAATTTCTTATATAAAAGAACTGTGTGTCCTTGGAACAAAGTTAAAGAAGTTGTAAATTTTAAAAGTCCGTAAATTTTGAAAGCTCGTGAATTTTTGAAAACGAGTAAATTTTTGAAAACTTGAATTTTTTACCAAAAATTTTAATAAAAAAACGCTTTAATCTTCGGCATTACCTTATCTCTTCATGATCACCTAATATTACATGTACATGAAAACAAAAGATGAATTTACATAGTGATAGCGATAGTAAATTCACGCCATAATGATACTAACTATTAATTGTTATTTTATTGCTAAATGTATTATCTTCTATTAAAATTATGAATTATTGTTAGATGCATTATCGTTATCTTTACTAATAATTAATTCATTGTTCGAGAAAACGTGGAATGCGTGTGTAACCACATGGTGCACAAAAAACATGGTAAAAAATCTCCATTTTTTTTTTTGCTAAATACGTCGTTTTCTTTGTGCATAAGATCTTTTCATCACGATTATCATATCGACAATATTGATTAATCTTATCAAGATTTATAAATGGTCAATTTTCATTGGATTGAATGTAAATTCCGACTTCATTCATGCACAAATTACATATATATACATGTAAATAATACTTGTTTGCATTTATAGGTTACAACATACGAACATACGTAATTCAACGTGCCCCTCGTGCGGAAAATCCCATTTATAGCCAGAAAATATATTTCTGATGTCACTTACCAAATAAACCTGCATCTATCTAACATCTAACTTAATCTTGTCTGATTTTTTTATAGATCTTCCAAATGAAGAGATGTTTTTTAAACAATAATTTCGCCTTAATACTTTTGTTAACGAGTGATACTATATTTGAGCATATTTAACTATATTTGAGCAATATTTAACTATATTTGAGCAATATTTAGCTATTAGAAGGAACAAAGATCGATTATATTCGTATCTATGGAAAAAACCGAAATTTCCTCTTGATTTGATTGGTAGTAATCAAGAAAAATACTGCGAGTGGATTTGATGCAAGTTGCCGATTTCAAACAAAAGATGGCGCAACAATAGCATTCGTAAATCTAAATGCTTGATAAAAGATTATGTAAGTTGAGCCAAACTGCAGCATTATAATCATTAAAAAAGATCCAGTTCGGATGAATTCTTCATATCTAAGATATCGGTCCATCTGTAAATATGCAGTACAAATTTGATAGGAAATAAACGTTTCGATAAAATTTTAAAAAAAGAAAAAATCACTCCTCAAAAACATCATAAATAGAAACAATTCTTTCGGGCTACATTAATGGAAAATTAAATTATTTTTTTTTTCGTTTTGATTGCATGTAAACTATGAAAAAAGACATAAACACACAGAATCTTTAAAAAAAACGTGCCAACGAATATCCTTATTTTATAATTTAAAAGTTTCGCGGTTATTAATAAAACAATATCATTAAAATAATGTCAAATAATACAACGACAACGGACCCAACCTACCAACCTGGAGATATTGTATTTGTACTAATATCAACGACTTTAGTATGGATTATGATACCGGGTCTTGGTTACTTTTATAGTGGAATGGCACGCAGTAAAAATGCATTATCATTAATTTTACTATGTTGCGCAAGTGTCGCTGTTGTATCAATACAGGTATTATTCATATTAGTGGAATTAACTTGACTTTCTAACGTAATTTTAATTAATCACGATATATTGTTATTACTAGTGGTGGGTATTTGGATATAGTTTAGCATTCAGTAAAACTGGTGGGAAATTTATCGGAAACTTGGACAATGCATTCTTCATTGGAGTTGGAAACGATCCTTCATTCGCTAGTGAAAGCATACCGGACTCAGCATATGCAATTTTTCAATGTATGTTCGCAGCAATTACTCCAGCATTAGCTATCGGTGCAGCAGCTGAACGGGGTCGAACATTGCCAACACTTGTATTCGTATTTATATGGTCAACTTTAATCTATGATCCAATTGCTTGTTGGGTTTGGGGTAAAAACGGTTGGTCAAAGAATCTAGGTGCACTCGATTTCGCGGGAGGTACCCCAATCGAAACAGCATCAGGCGCTGCAGCTCTCGCTTATTGTCTTGTTCTTGGTAAAAGAGCAGGTCACGGCGTTGATGATTTCAAACCACATAATATCGCAAATGTCATTCTTGGTGCTGTCCTATTATGGTTTGGTTGGTTTGGATTCAATGGTGGTTCCGCATTGGCTGGTAACGCTCGAGCAATAAATGCATTTATTGTGACAAATTTAGCTGCTTCTGCAGGTGGCATCACTTGGATGGTAGTTGATTATCGAATTGAACATAAGTGGTCAGCGCTTAGTTTTTGTTTGGGTGCTGTTGCTGGAATGGTCTGTATAACACCTGGTTGTGGATATGTCGGATCACCAGCCTCTATTTTATTTGGAGTTGCAGGTGGAACAATATGCAATTTTGCAATAAAACTGAAAGATATTTTCGATTTTGATGACGCTTTGGATGTTTGGGCTGTCCATGGAGTTGGTGGCATAATAGGAAATATTCTCACCGCGATATTTGCTCAGCGAAGTATTGCAATGCTTGGTGGCGAAGACATTGCTGGTGGATGGCTTGACAGACATTGGATTCAATTAGGATATAACTTAGCGCCAACGATAGCAGGTTGTGGATACTCGTTTTTTGGTACATATCTTATTCTGTACATAATGGACAAATTTCCGGGATTGTCACTTCGAGCAGATCCTGAAGCTGAAGCTAAAGGATTGGATGAATCCGAATTGGGTGAATTGGCATATTATCATGTGGATAGATTGATTACTGTAAATACGAGAACCGGCGAAACAAAGACAATTAAAGAAGAAACTCTTCATCAAACGAATGATACAAATCCAGCTATTGTGTAGCAATTTTTCTGTTTAGTCTATTTTTTTTGATTCCATTTTCTTTCTTGTAATATTTCCTTTTAATATCTCTTTAACAATCTATTATTTTCTTTCTTGTTTCCGGTTTGCAATTTTTGTGTTTTATTTATTCATAATTTGTCTTGATGTAAACAAAAAGAATGTAATAAATATAGCGGTAAGCGAACAAATTTTTCTATTCACCAAACAATTATATTCTCTCTGTGGCAACTTAATATTACGGCTTTAGATTTCGTAAATAGGATTGATTTCAGATACGCATTACTTCGAGACGCGACCCGAAGTAATCTGAATTTCATTAATTAGAAAATACTTTCTAACATCTTCGATTATTTTGTAAATATTAAAGCCATCCCAAGATAGAAAAGGGCTTTAATAATTTTGTTAGAATAAATATTCTTTACCACATTCACACAAATGATTGTGATACAATGGGAGAATTATGTTTAAAATTCGTATATAACTTATTTAATAGTCGTTAATTATGCTTATAGCAACGTTGTTAACTCAGTATCACGTTCTCTTCTATAGGCCAGCCCAATAGAACATGTGAAAGAAACAAAGAACTTATAATCTACGTAACTTGCCATTCTTCTTTCTTCATTTCTTTATTTATGAATTACTCACTTCTGTGTGATGTTTTATAGAAGTATTGCTTTATTAATTTTGATTTTCCAGTGTCTATAGTATATTTTATCAAAAATATCTTGTCAAATTCATTCTTATTTCAGATAAATAGATCTAAATAATCTTTTACAAATTTATTGAATTTTTCTTCTTGTTCTTTATTTAAAGTACTTATATAAAATTTATCTTTAGTTTCTATTTTTTATATTAGTAATAGAATTTTTTATGATTAAATTCAGAATTTTATCTTGATTAATTTGTTCTTTTTTTTATTTTGTTTGTTTTTTTAGTATTTATTCACTTATTATAACAGAAAAGTTATTTATTTAAATATTCTTCTTTTTTATTTTTTTATTATTTTCTTCTATTTCTTCTTTATTTTCTTTATTTATTTTCTTTATTACTTTTTATAAAGTTTTTTTTTTAACTTTTTATATAATTAATCAAAATATATTAATTAATAGATTAATTATAATTAATATATAATGCTTAGTAAAATTTTATATAAATCTACTAATAAAGATACTAAAAAAAAGTTTTTTATATTATTTATAACTATTATATTAATTAAAATAATTAGTAATATAAATATATAGATCTTTACAAAAATAGTAAATAAAAATATCTATATAAAATAATAATAATTCTGCTTTTTTTATAATTTTATTATATAAAAAATCAGTATTTGATTTTATTCATATAATAAAAATTATTAATATTTATTAATTCAAAATTTATAAAATTAATAATATTTTTTTTTATAAAAATTATTATAAATCTAAAAGATTTTTATAATTTTAATATAAGAAAATAATAAAAATAATATAATAATTTTGATTAGATTATATTTTTTTTAGTTTAGATTTTTATTTTATATTACTTATATTTTTTTGTATTACATTTTATAAAGATTAATTTTATTTTGAATATATAGATAATTATCATGTATTTAATTAATTTAGAATTATATATATTATTATACAGATAATTATTATATATTTCATAATTTTAAATTTAGATTATTAATATTTTTAATTAGATTTATTATTAATTTTTTTATACTTTTATTTATTTCTTTTTATTATTATTTATATTATTATTTATTATATTTATAATTATTATTAATTATTAAATTATGATTAATTACTTTCTAGAAATATAAATTAGTATATTAATTATATTTAATTTATATATATCTTATATTAATAATTATTATTAATTTATTTATATTTCTTATTTATTTTTTTATAATATATTCTTTCTATTTTGTATTTTTATCTTAAATTTATATACTATTTAAATAATAAAATTATAAGTTTATAAATTAAAATTATTTAGTTTATATTTTATCTTTTTTATAAATATTAATAAAATAATCTTATAAATTATATTAATTTTTTATAATTGATATATCTTTTAAAAAACTTTTAATTCTATTTATTTAATATTTATTATACTTATTTATAATATTTTTAAAAGTATAAAAAAATTTTCAATTTAATTTTAAATTATTTTCACTCTTAAAATATTCTTTTGCTTAATTTTATCTAATTTTATAAACTTTATAAATTTGATTTATATTTTTTTACTATTATATAATCTTAAGAATTTGAATTTCTATTTATAATAAAATTTATTAATACTATATTTATTTTTTTTAATATATTTTCTCTTTTTCTTTTTATTTATCTTTTAATATATTTTAATATTTATTTTTTTGATAGTAAATATTTTTTATTAATTAGATTATAATTTTCTTAAGTAATATTTAAATTTATATTTTATAAATATATTAAAATTATAAAAATTTTATTATATATTATGATCCAGTACAAAAATATAGATATATGAACATACTATATATAAATTTTTTTTAAAAGTAAGATATTATAATTTTAATTATTTAGATATAATTATATGCTATTTAAGAATATTTTTTAATATATAATTTTAATTATTTTATA